GTAAATCAAAGGATTAAAATCAAATCTCACTAATTTAAACTACCCAAAACTCTAACCCAAAATTCATAACTAAAACTTATACTTACCTAACAAAAGCACCTTAACCTTGGTGGAGAAAGGAGAAAGAAAATGATGTGGGTGGAAAAGGAAAGCATGAGAAAGCAAAATGAGGCTTTTGGGAGGCTTCTGGAGGCTTATCCAAGCTTCCACCGACAAGACAAAAAAACTTGGTTGGGAAAATGCCATGTGGTAAGTAAAATTGGGATAATTGAGTTATGGTCATTCAACTTCCACTTAATTCTACTTAAAGCCCCCAAACTTTAAATTCAATCAATTTAGTCCCTAAAACTATAAATTAAAGGACACTAATTTTTAAATTATTCACTAAGGTATGTGGGGTGTTACAGAAACACTATCCAAGATCATATATTACCTGTTTTCAGGCAGTCTCCCTTCACTCAAATAGAGCAACACCCTAAAAATCCTTGGATATGGGTTCTCCAGTGGAAATCAGAGTTAAATGGCTCTTGCTTTAGTTTTGCTTTGTGTATTGGATCCAAGGAACCCTTTCCATTCGAATACCCTGCCATCTTGACCTAAGCAGAATATGAGCATGAACAACAGACATAATCAGCCAGCAGTCTATTAATATAAGTTAATGGCTAATGCTTATTTGAACAACTTTTGAGAGATCATAGCCGAGTCAAACTTGAATTTAAATACTCCATCAATTGAGGCAGCCAATAATAATACCTAAACCTCAAAACCACACCATCCAAACTTAGCATTTTAACATGATATTGAGAGTTTGCTTGAAATTTTCTTTCACCATGATATAAGTTACGCATTCAGTGTTGTAAAAAGCTCGCCTAGGCTCTAGGCGATGACATTCCGCCTGCAGAAATTCAATGCGGTTTGCACCACCCAGATCAATTAAGTACATCCAGGCACTATTAGGTGTGCTTAATGGCACCTAGAGTGCTTGAGCAAATGCTTTTTATTAGAAATGATGTTTAATATATTATAAAAATTATATTAAAAAAATTAAATGCCAAGTAATTCCTTTAAATTCTGCTCTTTAGACATAATAATGAATAGAAAAATGTTTAATTTTTCTATTCATTTTATAATTTTTAAAATTGTTTTACATTTTTTTCTTATTCTCTTATAATTATATCAAAAAATTATTATTAAGAAAAAACCGCCTAGGCCGCATAGGCCACCTAGGCACCACCTAGGCACTCTAGGCTCTAGGCTGCGGGCAACCACCCACCATCGCCTAGTGCTTTCTGCAACCTTGTATGCATTTTTAGATAAAAAGAGAAATTCAAAGCAAATAATCTTGGCTGACATCCAACACTCGTCGAAACAATGTTTGAATCTAAAGACTTTGCAACAAAGTTCCTAATTGTTTTAAAAGGAGCAAAATCAAAAAGTTATTTCAAATTCATCATCTCAGAAAAGCTAAGCAGGCGGGATAGTTTTCCTAGAACCAAAAATTTCCAAAATCCCTACAAACTGCAGATTCTTCCCTCATAATCAAAAATCAGGACAGCAAGAAACTCATCTGCTCTAGGAGGATTCTTATTTAACGCAACTGAAGCATTGTACAACAAATTGTTAATAGCCTTGAAATGATTGAGGATACAAATAAGCTTGTCTATTTATTGATTTTTCAAAGCTCTTTCTATGCAAGCTCCCAACAGAGTAAAACGGATTTCTCAGAGGAAGAAAACAGACTTAGATACCATGGTAGTCCGTGCACTAAAATATCTCATGAATATGAATAAGCTTCGATGAATAGAATTGCTCTAGAAATAAAGTAGCATCCATCATTCAAGACATAAAATGCATTCAAATCTTTACATGTTTCTCCATACATCACATATAGAAAGTAAATCAGTTTCTCAGTTGGAACAAAAACCTATTAGTTACTAGCCAAGAAGTCTCATTATGAAAGGTTGGCTTGATATCCAAATTATTAGGCTGAATGAATTGCTGAAGCAAAGCCATCTTTTCAGAAAGTTGGTCATCCCATTTTACATTATCTAGAAATGAAGCAAATATACGGAAAGATAATTTTGGCATAACGTACTTCTGTAACCCGTTATTGAAAGGAAAAAAGTTAAACAACATCAACATTGGTTTTCCACAAATGGAAGACAATATGTAATTAAATCAAATGGTGGAAAAACATGTATATAAAGCTTGGTAATCTGAATTTCAACTCAGATCAAGGAATTGCAACATTACCTGCCAGAAATAAGATTTCAAGTCTTTGGTAAGTAAAAATGCTAACTGCACCTGAAAAAATGTTTTGAACTTTCCTTTGCCATAGCATAAATATGTATTGAAATTCAATTAAACCTCCAAATAAGTATAAAAGATATATTGAGAAGCAAACCAATAAAGAAAGAGAGACAATAGGTGCCAAACTTTTGGGATAAACTTGATATAAAAAAAAAAATGAAAAATTGATGAAAATTACAATTTAAAGGCCAATCCACACAATCAGGTGAAAAAAAATGTCAATCTTAAAAAGGAATGGCGAAAAAAGAGAAAAATGAAAATCTAAAAAGAGCTAGAAATTAGCAAAATTTTATTCTCTTGAACTTCAAATCTTCAAAAAGTTTTGATGTCCACATAATTGAAAAAGTTTTGGTGATGAAACTAAATGTGACTAGACTCAAAAATGACACAATTATATTAACTATGCCATATTACCTAAGGAACCCCATAGTCAAGCAGTGCAGCAGCATGGATTTTCACTTTATGCTTAAGATTTCTCTTCCCCACCACAGGGGAAATAATGAAACTAAGTCATTACAAAAATTTACCACAAACTGAATAAAAAAAATTGCCCACTTTGTTTTCTTTTCCCCTACCTTCATCAGCTAAAAAAATACATGAATGAAGAAGAAAAAAAAAAAAAAAGAAAAGAAAAAAAGAAGAAAAAACCTATGAAATGAAGAAAGATACTTTTGTTTTCTTTTCATAGCTCTATCTCCCCTTGATTGACAATTACCTGCCTACAAAATCAGATATACTGCCATAAAATTCAAGTCATCCAAACAGGAAAATGACAGAGAAAGAATGAGATCTTTTCAAATAAAGAAGCTTAAGAGTAGCAGTGATAGGTCAAAAGTTTGACAAATGTCACCACTTCACACATTGAAGGAAAAAATTAGGTTCTAAGACATAAAAAGGGGTGTTGAGTGATCAATTTCTTGGTCACCCTCATCAAAAATAAAACAGCAGCCAAGCTTAAGGGATGATACGATATCAAGACTAATACATGAATCAGGAAGGTTTTGATATCTAATAATCCAAAAATGTTGATCAAAGTGGATGATCTCCACCAAGAAGATAAATTAAGTGAGAAGAAATCAATTTAGATATGTGGTTTTCAAATCAATACACTTCATAGTTTAGTCCATACATACTGGAAAGAAAACACAAAAACCAACCAAGGCCTACAGCTTGCCCTATTCTTGTGTACAACTATAAATCCAAAAAGAAAAGGATTGCCCTAAACCAAACCTGTTTATAGCAAGCAGGCCTTGGCCTTTCCTAGGCCAAGGTCACATAGTTTCATGTACCTTCTGTAATACTAAGCCCAACATCTCTGTGTAACAGTTATGGTTTTAGCTTTTCAACTTTATAGGCACCTTTGTCAATGAAGTTTCAGATATCTTCTTGTTTCTTTAATTCTTTAAGATTATTACAAAAATATTAGAGTAGAAAAAGAACCCTTTGTCAAAGAAATAACATCCACCCAATTCTTTTAGATGTTATCAAGCTATGCAGTAAGCATCTGGCAATTTTATTCAGATAGTTCTATGTGTAAGCTAGTCTCTAGCACTTTTATATTTACTAATCCTTTTCACTTCTGGTTAAACACCTACTTTCTCAAGGATTGTTGAGTTGTTGACCACCAAATCTCAAATTATGTTTATTTTAAAACAATTTATAATAAAATCTTTGTATGAACTTTCAAGGGTTTTTTCTAACCTAATAAGGAAAGAAATGCCCTGGTTAAACACTGCTAACATCTGCTTCCTGTTGAAATAGCAGATTAAAACTTAAAGAAAATAGAAGAAAAAGGGTATTTTGAAAGCTCTGGTGGGGTAAGATAATAGAAAACCAAGACAGAGATACTGACTTCATGCGGAAGCTAAAAAGTGTTAAAATAACGAAATAAAGAAAAACATTTAACTAGATCATTAGGAGTTAGGCAAGTAGTCTAAAAAGTGAGACGAATTAAGCAAAAAAGAATGCAGGAGATTAGATTAGTTCAGAAACTTAACAAAACACAATGAAAATAAATGATCTTTTAATAGTTCAAAGGATATAGATAATGCTAGAACTCACTAAAAAGAAATGACTGAGCCATGGTTGAGCTGTGATGTAGCCATGTGGAACTTAGCCAATTCCATTGCAGAATTTTATGCCATAGTGCATAAATTCTATACAAAGATAAGATGATGATCAAACCCCCCAATTAAAAACTCAAAACTGCATGATTAAACAAAACCTAGTACTTTAATTGGCACCAAAACAACACAAATAATCTTGAAAACCTTTAATCTAAGAGTGGGAAATAGAAATCTTTAATCCAGATACAGGGAATTAGATGTCTAAATAGGTTGTTGGGGCAATGGTTTGGAAAAAAACCATGAATAACAATTCACACAAACAACTGATTGATTGTTACTATATATAAAAACAATAAGATGTAAAAATAAAATAACTTACCAAGATACAGATTGATCCCAGTAAATTTCCCTGCTGCACAAATGGCAATGGTGTTCAATTGCAGAGAGTGTAAGAGGACAACCCCAAGGGACCAGCTTGAGATTTTGATAAAGAAATCTATTGAGACATACCAAAGCAGAGAATAGATCCAGTGAGAAACATCATTTACAAAATTGTAGATCTTCTACGCTACTTCAACAGGGTATAGCTCCTATGTGTTGTATGAAACAATTTTTTTTTGGAGAATATAAAAAGTAGGTCAGAAAAATGTAAAACTCTTAGAAGAAGGAAGCACCACACCTGTCCTCCTCCCTCTCTCCAAAGTCCAAATATCATCATTTCAGAATTAAGTGGCAATCAGTTACGCATAAACTCAGAATTTTCAAATCCACAAGCTATTTTCCTATTTAATAGTTGATCAATTCTACCTTATGGCAAAGTGACTGCCCACGTGAAAATGCTTGCATAGAGTTGAAAGTTGAAATTGAAAAAGGAAAATGGAAAGATCATTGCATATTGCCAACATCAACAAAAACTTTCAGCTGGTAAGAAATTATCTCCAAGAGAATACTTACTACCTCAATATGGCCCTGGGAGGCAGAGGAATGCAGAGCAATACTGTTTGAAGAATCAAAAGTCATGAAGCTCAAGATAAGCATCCATAAGGACCTTCAATACCATTGGGAAAAACAAAACAAAAAAAATTAGAAAGAATTTATCTCCAAGGAAGACTTCTTGTTTGACAATGATAGGGAATAAATCTGCAGAGAAGTATAAACAAAATATATGAAATCTTCACCCCAATTGATAGATTTTTAAGACAAAAAATATTAGTTTTAATTAAGTAGATAATCTTCCTTTTTGTTATGGAGAAAACAAATGGAGTACAATAGTACATAATAGGACAAAGTTTGTAAATTGTTGCATGAATTGATAAAGAATAAAATCATTGAATTTACCTCTAAGTGAGCTGATATGCAAAGGACTATTATTATTTCAATCAAGATATATCCTAATAACTCAATAGAACAGTGGCAAAGCACTTCAGCAGTGATCACTGCCTCTTATGTATTAGTGCCGATCAACTTTTCTTCGGCTAAAATTAACAGAAAATCAAGCCAAAAAGAAAAAGGAATAAAGGAGATTCTGAGACGCTTGCTTTAGCATGGATTACAATCTCCATTAAAATATGAAGAGTTTAACAATATTAACTGAACTATGTATCATTTTAAAGCAGCTATATAGAAATATGAAAACTCAAAAATTGCAAAAGCATAACTGTAACAACCCATATACTTTAGTGAATAGATTAGAAATTAGATGTGGGGATTAAATTGATTAGATTTAGAGTTTGGGGGTTGTAAATGAAATTTAGAAGGAGTTGAAGGATGTTTAACTCAATCATTCCAATTTTGTGCCAAGTGGCACTATATCCATTGAGTAAAACAATTTGCTTGGACTTAGAAGGCTTTACAAAGCCTGTGAGTCTTGCTCTAAAAGATTTAGGAACAAAAGCCATTCCTCTGCATCCTTCCTCTTTATTCCAGCCGTCCCCGCACCTTTCCTTCTTTTCCAGCCGAGTGTGAGCTGTGGGGACACAATCTCCAATTGAAATTCCTTTCAATTTTTGTTGTTTGCCTTAACTTGGTACTTTGATTTCCATAGGTAAGTATGAGTTTTAGCTATAGATTTGGGTAACAGTTTTGGATAGATTATAAATTTGCTATAATATACTAAAAATTAGTTCAAGTTAATGAAATTTGACTCTAAATCCTTTGTTTAAGAGATTTGTGGGTATTAGATATTTGTTTAGAAATATTTGGACTTTTGGATATATGTACAATTTTGAATTAGAACTGGGTTTTAATTTTATGCTTGAATCTTGTGTGAATTTTATTAGTTAATTACTTGTTATCGTTGTTTTGGTATTTCCTTATATATTTGTGTGAAGACTTTTGGAAATTGCATGATAAAGCAAAACCTGTGAATGTTTAATTGGAATTTGGGTACTGCCCGTGACCTGTTGCACTTGAGTTTTGGTTGATTGAATAATCATGCATTAATTGCATTGTTAAAATAAGAAATCAATTTTAACTCTTATTAGTGAAATCTATAGTTAGACATGGGATATTTAAAGTGGATTGCTTTGGAAATGCAATTGATTAAGTGAAATATTAAATGAAATAATATTCTTATATTATTTTGAATTTGTTTTGAATTTGTTAGATATATGTATGTGTTTATGGCTATGGAGTAAGTGGAGCTAAGCTTAAAACTTTGGGATATTTAGTGGACCTTTAGGGGTATTTAGTGGACCTCTGTGCAATAGGATGAGTGCCGTGATTAGCTTTGGTACAAGTGTTGCTAACACACATTAGTGGACTTCATAGCATTGTGTGATTTTTGTTTATGCATTTTGCTTGTGGCATTTCATTTGTGAGTATATAATTTTATGACTTGAATTTGAATTAAATGTCACTAGCTATTTCTTGACATGTTCAATTGTCTATGAACTATTCTATGATACTGAATTATTATTTGAAGACTAAGATTTATAATATTATGTGGTTTGGTTTAATTGTCTTTTATACTCTCCATGTGTGTAGCTCTAAGGGTCTTTAAGACCCAACTTTGTAATTTCAACTTAATACTTATTGGGCTTTTAGCTCATGATATTTTCCCCCATATCAGATTAATAAATTGGAGTAACAGTTACCAACTTGAAAGCTTTCAATACAAGTCTTGTATGCTCGTTGTACATAAAAGTTAGGATCTCAATGCTTTTGATGTGTAGGCAGATCAACGTATTACCAAAACGATGATTTTGCTTTTATTATTTTGAAAAGATTTTGAAAAGTTTTTGAAAAGCATTTGCTCTCCTATAATTTTTGTGTAAATTACTTTTATGTATACACATCCAAATTAATGAAGAAAAGGCTCAGCCTATTATTTTATAGTTTTGAGCATTATATATATAAATATATTTAAATACATTTTGCTAAATTAGTTTTTCATTTACAAGTATTCTTCTTCCATTATTTATATTTTATATGATATATAAATAGGATTCTTTTACAAGGACATATTATATATTCTAGAAGTGTTTTATTTCCGTTACGTTATTATTTTTCTAAAATTTGTAGTTAAACACTCGCACAGGACCAATGGTACCTATGGGAGGTGTGTTACAATAACTAAAAAAAGAAAGAAAGAAAGAAAGAAAAGATAAGATAAAACTTATTCATATTCCCAAACTCACTGTTTTAGAACAGTAATTTCAGCCTGCAAAAGATAATTGTGCTCCAACTCTACTTTCATCTTTTCATCTTCAAAATAACCAAAAAAAAAAAAAAAAAAAAAAAAAAAAAAAAAAAAAA